TCCAGAAAAAGGGCTGACAAGACAAATGTTCCAGAGTGACTAGGCGAACTAGAATGTAGGATTTCTTCATTCTTTCAGCAATCAGAAAAAGGTGCGGCACACAAACTGAAAGGAAGACAGCGTTTGGTTTTGCTGGTGTTTGTTGGAGAACTTCTGGTTGATGTGCTCTGTTTGCTTTGGTGAAGTAGATGTTTGAGATCAGCTATGCCTGAGTATCGCCTCATACACTATTATTATTATTATTATTATTATTATTATTATTATTATTCAATATCTACTGAGAATTATTCAGTGTATATTATGGATACCTACTACTAATTATTTAATATCTACTGTAAATTATACAGCACCTTCTATAAATTATTCAGTACCTAGTATTAATGATTCAGTACTTAGTATGAGTTATTTAATATCTACTATAACTGATTCAGTAACTGTTCAGTAACCAGTATGGATTATTCTGTAACTGCTATGAATTATTTAGAATCTACTATGAATTACTCAGTAACTACCCTGTTAGAAATAAAGGTTCTGTGGAGGTACACTTTTTGTTAATCGAGGTACAAACAGTGTAAATGTTCCCTCAAAGCTCCAACAGTGGTTTTAAGGTCTGATTGTGAACCTTAAATAAGTTTTTCCAGGTGAAAAGTTCGTATTTGTACCTTTTCATAACCGAATGTTTTAAACAGAACAGTAAAATAAAAGCCTGGAGACGAGACGGGGTGTGTGGAGTCAGTACAGCTTAGAACATATCATTTCAGTGGATTATGGTTCAGTTATGTTCCCTGACTAAAGGTACTGAGATAGACCCTTGAGGGTTCCACCCTAGTGACAGTTTAGAACCTTTATTTCTGAGAGTGTAAGTGTTTAAAATAATGATAGTGTGGTGAAGCTGTAAGGGGCCGCCTAAATGACCGAGCTGACTAACCTGCCTGTCCAGTGATCCAGTCTGCGGCCCTCGTTCTTTGGTATTTAATGTCCTGGATGAGATGAGTGTTTTTTTTGTATTTTGCTCTCCATCGAGAAGCTGCTGGTCATCCTTCATATGCCATAGTGCTGGACACACCACGTCAGTATAGGGAGTTCAAAGTTGGCAGACAATAACAGCCGTTTTAATAACTTTTTCAAAATGTCTTTAATGTCATTACCATGTATACAGAGTCGTTCAGAGTGGTTTGGTGTGAAATGCTCAGAGTCAGAACTGTTCACAGTGGTGGTGATAGGAACCAGACTTCCACCTCTAAAAGCTCCCTCACAGAAAGTTCCTACATGAAATGGTTATGAATTCACTGCCTGATGACTGAGACACTGTTTTATGATAGTTTTGTGATCTGTTTTTAAATTAAACATTTTTAAAACTTAAACAAAGTGGGGAGGTGCACACAGGGCGTGGTAAGGATAAATAGTCCCCAACAAAACTTAATTTTGTAGAGTTTCAGACTGTTTCGTTGTTAAATAAAAACCGTCCCCTTTAAAAAAAAGATGGCTCTTCGGTACAGGGAATGGTTCTATATAGAACCATGAGCACTCAAAGAACCATTTGCATGCTTAAACCCAAAAAGGGTTCTTCCATTGTATTAAAGCTTGACATTGTAGTAGTAGCTGTATGTTGCTGGTGTCGGAACAAAACCTCGTATCTCCAAAATGGTAACTTTACAGGAGAAGGAAAAACATACTTTACTTTTAATGTAAGTCAATGGAACCAGAAATCTTTCCCTATAATTTTGGGTCGTTTCTTTTGGTCCAGTCATTATGATATTGGCACACAGTGTAAAAGGCAATGGGCATTTTCAAATTATGTCAAAAACTGAAAAATGGAGATACAAGGTTTTGTTCCAACAACAGTGATATATGTCTTACGTGGTTCTATACAGAACCCCTTGGGGTTCTATACAGAACCATACACAACATATTTTTGATCAATCTGAAGATTTCATCATGCAGAGAGCCAAAAAGTGTACACAACCTAAAATTAACAGCACATTTGTGGGTTCCTGTTGCCACCAATGTAAGGAACTCTGTATCGGTAAGTTTCTCTGCAGTGAACCATTTCACTCAACACACCCTGGAAATTTGAAAAATCGCGGAATTCCCCTTTAACCAAATCAGAGTGTTTAGAAAATTCCATCAGTGCTGCATCTTATGTATTCGTATGGGAAAAGCCTTCTTGCTCTTTGTTGGTAACAGAACCGAGCTAAAGAACGTTGAATCTGAAAGGGAGACTCAGGTGGATCTGATTAGAGCCGAACTCACACACAGTCCAGTTAGTTGGACAGTGTTACTGCGCATATTTAGGCCGAGTCAGACCCTTTTATTCTGTGTTAATAAGCTGATTTTTCTCTTGAAAAAATGCATTTTTCATATTTTTTTCACAAAGTTAGTGTTTTTTCCAAATGTACAGCCTGTTGTGTTCACCAATGACCTCATGTGTCCTTTTGAAGATACTATTACGGGTCACCAGCAGGGGTACTTTGGGATAAGGCAGTCTATAGATCATCCACGTGGAGGCAGACAGCGCTGGATCCTCCCTGCAGTAGCGTGGCTAATTTAGTGCTCCACCAGGCCTTATTCCACCAGCAGGATTTGGCAGTGTTAGGACGCAGTCTGCAGCCCACAGGTGTGGGGGATAAATCCGTCCCTCTATCAAATAGAGGTTTTTAGGAAGCCCCTACGCTGAACCTCTAAACCAGCGCGACTCATACCACATACCTGAGCAGTCTAGGACAGACGTGCACATGTGGGCTTCGCGTTGAGCCCTGGGACCACTCCTGTGCACTGTAGCCACGAAGACGTCTTCACAGAAGACGGTGGAGTCAGTCTGCACCCCTTACATTTGTAAAGTAGCTCACATTTAGTTTGCGAAATAAATCTGGAAAATATTTACAGATGCACAAATTGTTGATATTTGATGAAACCCAGATGATCAGCAGTGTTAGGGTTAGGATTAGTTTTACTGCATGCATCAGGAGAGCAATTAAAAAAATATTCGATTCACTTGTCTTGCATAAAATTGACATTTTTAGGACATAATGTGTGCATGGGTCCTTTTAGTGTACGTTGCTTTGATGCAACATTGTGCAACAATGGGAAGAATGATATAGAGCCCTGTTCCCTGAAGTGGTGAGACCTGGCTTCTGGCTGGCTAAATCCATTCCACTGCCGCGTAATGTTGCTTCTAGGCAGCAAACATATTTCTGCAAATTCTCATAAGAAAAAACAGATGGCACTGAATGTTTAAAAGAGGTTTAAAAGTGTCCACAAAAAGATGGTGACCAAGTACATGCTTTTTATTGACTTACGCAAACTCTGCCCTTTTTATGTT